TGTGGCCAGATTATGAAGGTGTCATCTACGTATCTGAGCCAGAGTTTGGGTTTGTGGTCGTATTTTTCTAGAGCTTGTGTTTCAAAGTGTTCCATGTAGAGGTTTGCGATGACAGGTGAGAGGGGTGATCCCATGGGTGCTCCTTCTATTTGTTTGTATTTTTGTCCATTGTAGGTGAAGTATGTATTGGATAGGCAGTGGTTGGTCAGATCTAGGATGTGCTTGGGGGGGTTGTATTTGTTTTGGATGGCTGTCAAGGCTTCTTTTATTGGCACTTGGGTGAAGAGGGATATGACATCGAAGCTTACTAGTAGGTCGCTGGGTTGTAAGTTTTGTTTCTTTATGATCTCGATGAACTGGAATGAGTTTCTTACGTGTGAGTTGATGGATTCTGCATAGGGTTGTAGTTGTTTGGCAAGAAATTTGGCCAGGTTTTGTAGAGGTGAGCCTATGGAGCTGACTATTGGTCTGAGTGGGGTTCCTTCTTTGTGTATCTTGGGGAGACCATAAAGCTTAGGGCATCTGGATGATTTCTCTCTGGGTATGATTCTTTGCTGGATTTCTTCACTGATGGGGGAGGCTTTTATTTTGGATTTGGTAATTTTTTCTAGGTAGGTGGTGGGGCCTGTCTTTAGGGGTTTGTATGTGGGGTCTTGGAGTAGGTTGGTTAACTTGGTTTGGTAGTCAGATGTGTTCATAACCACTGTCGCGTTGCCCTTGTCTGCTGGTAGGATTATTATGCTGGTGTCTTCTTTCAGGTTAAGTAGTGCAGTTTGTTCTTCTTTGGATAAGTTGCTTTTGGGTGGTTTGCTAGTGCAGAGGATGTTGGTGATTTCGAGTCTGATTTTGTTAGCATCATCAGGGTTGGTTTTGGTCAGGCTGGTTTCAACTCCGCATATGATGGTTTCTGTGGGGATGTGTTTGGGAGCGACAGCAAAGTTGAATCCTTTTGAAAGGACCTTGGTTTCAGCTTCAGTGACGATCTTGCTATTTTTCCTTCAGGAAATTGTTGCATTTCTTGCTTTCTAGCTAATCTTTAGATCTTCAGCTCTTCTTTTAAGCAGAGCTGAACCTTCCTTAGGACTGAAGCTTTTATTATTCAGTGCAGGTAGCCAATAGCAGAAAGATAGATCTCTGAATGAATCTGTGATTCTGTGAGCAACTCAATCTGCCTGCCTGCCTGCTTTGCCTGATTTTGGGTAAAAGTTGCTCTTTTTAATAAAAAATTCAATATTTACATAAATATTTATAATATTTACATACAAGCCATGCCCAGCCAGTCACATGACCACCAAGCCACACCCACAAATTAGAACTGGTTAAGAAATTTGAATCCCACCCCTGCCTCTGTGTGTGTGTGTGTGTGTGTGTGAGAGAGAGAGAGAGAGAGAGAGAGAGAGAGAGGGGGGGGGTTAGATCAGATCTCTCTTTCTCTTTCTCTCTCCCACCAATGTCAGTAAGCCGCCATCAGTCAAAATTGGGTTTTAAAATTATGAGTTTGGTGGTTTCTGAGGTCCAAAAGGATGGCGACCCCTGGACTAGAAGATCTCCAAGATCCCTTCCAACTCTGTTATTCTAAATCCTGAATAATAAAAATTAGTCCTTGCTCTTCTCCATTAGCTTGCAGGCTACCATCCTGTTGGTAACCATACCTGAATCATGTTGAGTTTTTGCCATAAAAAGTTGTGATGAGACTTTTTACAGGGTAGTTCACCAATGTTTTCCCTAACCCTCCCCATTTAATCAGGCTTGGGACCTGCTCATGGTTGATGAAGCAACCATAAGGCTAGATTGAAATTACCTTATGATTCTTGACTCTTGACGAATGTATCTTTTCTTTTATGTACACTGATTCCTTGTGTGTCCAATCACACTTGGCCAATAAAGAATTCTATCTAAAAAAACATAAAGATAGCCTATCTGATATTTGCAAACCTAGATCCTAAATGTATATTTACTACCTTTGTACATGATGTGGCTAATTCACAAGTCAATCTAAACAAATTCCCCTGCCCGTTTGACACCATTGCTAGTAACACTAAGATTTATTTCTTTAAAATTTGAAGGTAGAACGCATATATGGTAATGGAAAACTGGATGATTGATTGATTGGTTGGCTATTTTCATTTTTTAACTGCCCGTGTCCTTCAATTGAGAAGCACTCTCAATTGATTTAATTTATAACTGGTTTTATAGTCAGCTCAATTATCTAGAATCTCCCACTGCTTACCAACAGTGATAAGTATATATACACAGAGGGTGGATATTTTCAGGAAACATCCAAGCTTTAAAGCAGAACACCCATTTCCAAAGAAATGATTAATTTACCCATGAGTGGAAACCAGATAGTTGGCTAGAATTAAAAGAATGAGTGAAGAATGTCAAAAATTCAGAGTAGATAATGTCACTTTTCAGTTGGTGCCTATCACCCAAACTCAGAAAAGAAGATTTCACAGAGGTTTGACTGAACCTAATTTCCTGAACCAATTCCAATCTGTCTAAGTCCTTCTTAAGAAGAAGTACTCAGAACAGGAACCCAGTAGTTAATATAGGATTTGATCAAAGTGGAATAAAAAGGAAGAGCTTGTCATTATTTAGAAATGTTCTTCTGTTGATAAAACCTAAAATGGTGATGCTTATTTTTCCTGACCACATCAAACTACTGATTATATTCTGTTAGCAATCAGCTTTTTCAAGACTTGTCACTCATACTGTTATCAAGCTGGGAATAGTTGCATAGTTTATTTCTTAAGGGAAAAATTTTACAAGCTCTCTATTAAAGTACATTCTATTACTTTCATCACATTTCATTGAAGTCATTTTGAATTTCATTTATGCCTTTTTGAGCATTATTTTCTTGGAATGTGGAAATGTGGAAATGACCTAAAAGGTATTATCTACCTTTTAGGTCATTTCCACATTTCTTAAAGTTTCCAACTGTCTCTTCATTGAAATCATAAATATATACCATATTTTTACACTAAAAGATCCACTTCCCCACCCCCCACAAAAAAAAGTGAATGGAAAATGTCTGTGCATCTTATAGAGCAAATATTGCCGAAGCCCCGCCCACCCACCTGCCTCTACCCTTCAGCCTCTGTCTCCTTGCAGCAAACAGCCTGGTCAGCTTCAGCAGAGCCTGATTTAGCACAAGCAACTGATTGGCGATTGGATCGGCTTCCCGGAATACCGCCAATCAGCTGTTCCACCTATTGCCGACTCCAAGTGCCCAATTTTCAACCCGTTTCAGGTGGCAGGGATGGCCTCCACCATCTCCACCATCTGAAAGGGATGGGTGGGGTTTCAGCAACATTCATTCTAAAGACAAAATATGCTTAAGCTGACCAGGCTGTTTGTTGTTTGCTGTAAGGAGGCAAATTGCTGGGAGGCAGAGGCAGAATTCTTATTTCTTGCTTTCCTCCCTGTCGTATCAGCCGATACGATCACTAAAGACGCGAGGCAGTGACTGGGTTTAGCTCTTTTTATTCAGGTTTTAAAATCTGCCGCCGGCTGGGTATGCGGCGGCTTATATTGAACTGGTGCCGGGCGCCGCAGCCAATGCAGCCGTTCGAATCGCCTGCGATTGGCTCGGCCAATCGCGGTCGATTCAGAACAGCCAATCAGTGCCATGCGCTCGACCAATCCGGTTGCTGTGCGCTTGTCCAATCAGGATTGCGGGATTTCAAGAATGCTAATGTCCATACAGAACACTCCCCAAAAGCTAGGTGCATCTTATAGTCTGGAGTGTCTTATAGCGCAAAAAATACAGTACTAGTCAATGTTTCCAAATCTGGAACATAAATGTATATTTTCTCAGAGGCTACTCACTTTGTACATGACGTGGCTAATTCACAAGTCAATCTAAATACATTTACCTGCTTCCTCGAGACTATTATTAGTATTAAAAACCAAGATTTATTTCTTAAAAAATTACCAGTGAAAGTAGAAAGCATATAGAAAGTAGAAAGGAATGGAGGCCTGGAAGATCATTTATTCATTCTTTCATTCATTCATTCATTCATTTATATTTTCAAATTTTTTATTACTTCTCCTCAAAGAAGGGCAGTGAAGTTGTATCTCCATGTCAATTATTTAGAATCTCCCCCTGCTGACCCAGAACTTTCACAAAATAACAACAGATAGGCACCTGTCATATAACACCCCGGATTTAACAATGATAAGAAAGACAAAAAAAGTCTGAATAGCGGATGTGGCAGTGCCTGGAGACAGTAGAAGAGAAGAGAAAGAATTGGAAAAAATAACAAAATAGAAATAAAATGCTGTAGCATAGGCAAACAAGAGTATTTGAGTATAATCCCAAAACAATTGGCACACCACTTGAATACTGGCAAAAAGTATCTGAAGTATTTGAGCAGTTTTGGGCTCAACCCTAAAGGTTGAATTCCCTTCTCCTGGATCTGCAAGATTTAACTAACCACTACTTTTGGGTAATGCATCAATTTAGAAAATATTTATATTCTGCCTTCTTTTTTCCACTAGTTCAGCAGTGTCAGAAAGAGTTAAAACAAGTATAAGACAGTGTGTCTTTAAACACAATGTCGTGACAGCCATCTTATCCATGTTCACCTTGCCACAGAAGCTATAATTCTGACTCTACCCATTTTCTATTTGAACCTGCCTACTTTCCCTCACATTCTAACAGGCTCAATTGAAGCATCTGAGTTCAAAACAATGGTCTCCTCTTGTTCAATAATGAGAACAATACAGCAAGAATGATATAAGCATTAGGATGTGTTTATTTGCATGACACTATGGTTGATAAGAGTCATGAGAAGAAGGAAAGATCCAAGTCATCTCTTCTGAAAAAGGGTTCTGAAAAGAGATAGATGAGAGCTGGACTTCCATACTATAAGGTGGAGGGTGGTAATGAATGGCATAAAAGAGGCATCCAAAAGTATCCTGGTTTATCATCATCCGATCCAATGGCATCTTGACAAGCAGTGAGTACAGATGTCTCTACAGTTCATGCTTGCAGATGTAGGCATTGAGTTTCTGGCATGGGGAATCATTCCACTCTTTAAAACCTAAAACACAAAAGACAGGATATCTGATATTTCGTGCCCTAGCCATTCATTTTTGAAGATATACGGATGAGATGTCCTTGAGATGGACAGTCATTTGGAACATTTAGAATTACTGTACTTCCTTGAATATTCATTGGGTTGCCTAAAACATCTTCTGTGAAATACATATCCAATCCATTGGTCTAGGTCAACTTGCTGCAGCCAACTCTCTGCAGGACAAGAGTTGTCTCAAAGAAATGGTGGGATTGAATCATTAAAGAAAGCATGCAAAAAAATGAAATGTGAATGACAAAAATTAAAATGTTTTAATTATTTTAAATAATTAAATTGAGTTGTTCAGTTTAATTTGTCCCATGGCAAGTTGACTGTGCTGGCCATTGCAATTTTGCTCTGGAAAGTTGGCAATGGCAAGTTGGCTGTGGCAAGTTGTCCCATTCCAGCAACTCATGGTAATTATTTTTGCCAATAACCAGAAAATTCCCACTGACATGTATCACCAAATACAGGTGAAACTCAAAAAATTAGAATATCATGCAAAAGTTCATTTATTTCAGTAATGCAACTTAAAGGGTGAAACTAATATATGAGATAGACTCATTACATGCAAAGCAAGATAGTTCAAGCTGTGATGTGTCATAATTGAGATGATTATGGCTTACAACTCATGAAAACCCCAAATCCACAATCTCAGAAAATTAGAATATTATGAAAAGGTTCAATATTCTAGGCTCAAAGTGTCCCACTCTAATCACCTAATTAAGCCATAATACCTGCAAAGGGTTCCTGAGCCTTTAAATTGTCTCTCAGTCAGGTTCAGTAGGAATCACAATCATGGGAAAGACTGCTGACCTGACTTGTGCAGAAAACCATCATTGACACCCTCCATAAAGAGGGAAAGCCTCAAAAGGTAATTGCAAAAGAAGTTGGATGTTCCCAAACTGCTGTATCAAAGTACATTAATAGAAAGTTATGTGGAAGGGAAAATTGTGGAAGAAAAATGTGCACAAGCATCAGGGATGACCGCAGACTGGAGAGGTTTGTCAGGAAAAGGCCATTCAAAAGTGTTGGGGACTTTCACAAGGAGTGGACTGAGGCTGGAGGCAGTGCATCAAGAGCCACCACACACAGACAGATCCTGGACATGGGCTTCAAATGTTGTATTCCTCTTGTCAAGCCATTCCTGAACAACAAACAACGTCAGAAGCATCTTACCTGGGCTAAAGAAAAACAGAATTAGTCTGTTACTTATTGGTCCAAAGTCCTCTTTTCTGATGAGAGCAACTTTTGCATCTCATTTGGAAACCAAGGACCCAGAGTCTGGAGGAAGAATGGAGAGGCAAGATGCTTGAAGTCCAGTGTGAAGTTTCCACAGTCTGTGTTGATTTGGGGAGCCATGTCATCTGCTGGTGTTGGTCCACTGTGCTTCACTAAGTCCAGGGTCAACACAGCCATCTACCAGGAGATTTTGGAGCACTTCATGCTTCCTTCTGCAGAAGAGCTTTATGGGGATGCTGACTTCATTTTCCAGCAGGACTTGGCACCCGCCCACACTGCCAAAAGCACCAAAACCTGGTTCAATGACCATGGGATTACTGTGCTTGATTGGCCAGCAAACTCGTCTGACCTGAACCCCATAGAGAATCTATGGGGCATTGCCAAGAGAAAGATGAGAGACATGAGACCAAACAATGCAGAAGAGCTGAAGCATCCTGGTCTTCCATAATACCTCAGCAGTGCCACAGGCTGATAGCTTCCATGCCACACTGCATTGAGGCAGTAATTGTTACAAAAGGGCCCCAAAACAAGTACTGAGTACATATGCATGCTTATACTTTTCAGAGGTCCAATATTGTTCGATGTACAATCCTTGTTTTATTGATTGCATGTAATATTCTAATTTTCTGAGATTGTGGATTTGGGGTTTTCATGAGCTGTAAGCCATAATCATCACAATTATGACAAATCACGGCTTGAACTATCTTGCTTTGCATGTAATGAGTCTATCTCATATATTAGTTTCGCCTTTTAAGTTGTATTACTGAAATAAATGAACTTTTGCACAATATTCTAATTTTTTGAGTTTCACCTGTACAGTTACACACATTTTTGAGGGAAGAAAGAAAAAGACCTTTTCAGGTTTTAACTTGGTAGCCACAATACCCAGGGGAAAAAAAACAAATTTGTACAATGAAGCTATGTTATAAATCTGAGCAATGTAAAATGTCCCCAAGCTAACCAAACTGATAAGATGAAAACTAAGCTTTTGAACTTGGATGAGGACCATGATGGTCTTAGCCACCAGGAAATTCAGTGAGAAGCCCGGATGGTCACATTTCTGTTTATTTCTCAACTGTGAGAATCACTGACCTACCTGTAGAAAGTCCCAGCTCCACACAGTGCTCAGCATTACCATAGTTGTCTGGCTGACTTTTCATCCAGGCTTTGTAGTTATAAGTTGATTCATCAGCCCACCTCCATTTTCCAGTCTGTTGAACAAAAGCAGAGCAGATGAAATGGATAAGGAAGTTAAACTGACTCTTAGATTCCACTGATTATGATCAGGAAAGCTACAAAGATTGGCTACAAATAGCAGTTAATTATAACCAATGTTAGGTATTGACTATGGTGAATAGAGTAGACAATGGTCTCCACAACTTCTGTAGTAGTTAACTTTGTAATATTGAAAGCATCTTGCAAAGAGTGATTTGCTTTAAAGAAATAACCATCACTTCAAAGAAAGAAAAGAACTATGGCCGTGGAGGTTCTGTTCAGGTTCTGTTCATTTATTTTCCTCTTATTCCCAGATTTTCTGGGAATGCCACTTAGTCACCATCACTGCAAACATGAAAGCTTCGTACTACCACAGTTATTGTCTACACAGACCAGAGAGTAATTAGGACTTCAGAAAAAACAATTACTACCAACCTGCCTTCCACTAATGACCTGTATACTGCATGAGTCAAAAAGAGGGCTGTTAAAATATTTACAGACCTCTCACATCCTGGACACAAACTGTTTCAATTCCTTCCCTCAAAACAACACTATAGAGCACTGCACACCGAACAACTAGAGACAAGAACAGTTTTTTCCAGAACACCATCGCCCTGCTAAACAAATAATTCCCTCAACACTGTCAAACTATTTGCAAAGTCTGCACTACTATTACTATTAATCTTCTCATCACTCCTTATCACCCATCCCCTCCCACTTGTGACTGTATGACTGTAACCTGGTTGCTTGTATCCTAACAATTTTTATTGAATGTTTCCTAGTATGATTTGATTGCTTATGGGTACCCTATGACTATCATTAAGTGTTGTACCTTATGATTCTTGACTCTTGATGAATGTATCTTTTCTTTTATGTACACTGAGAGCATTTGCACCAAGTCAAATTCCACACTTGACCAATAAAGGATTCTATTCTATTCTGTACTGAGATGTCTATGTATATATTTTTTTCCTCTTGCGCACCACTTATAGAAACTACAACTTAATTTAAGAAATTATTGGGATTTAATCAGGCAAGTAATTGAGGAAAATAGGAATGGCACAGTCACAGATTGTTCAAAATGAAAGAAGAGAAGTTCACCTGGCGGACATCCTGAAGACCAATCCAGACATTGCTTAATTCCTGTTGATAGGTGGAGATATGCTCAGCCACCAGAAGAGTCTCGGCTTTGGTGAGGATAGAGGTGAGATGAGCTCCACGGCCATAGCTCTGGCACTCAATCTTGGAGTTTAGAGGAAGAGAAAAGCAGATAGTCCTCTTGATAATCTTTCATATGCAACACTGGGATATAGCAGAGAAGCCTATAAATGTATATACTAAAGATGCTTTTTCCAAGATGCCAGTTGCCTTTTGGTAAAAGCAACTTTGGGACAACCATGACCTGGATGACTGAAAATCTCCATAGGCATCTATCAATATTAATATACGCAGTACAGTAAAATGCCTACACTGAAGAACGTGTGTTAGTGGATTGTACAACACTGTTATTGCATCATCAATTTGTCAGATCAGTTCTGATCCTCTAAACTTGAAGTCCAACTTTCTACCCAGTGCATAAATCAAAATGAACACAACCCTGAAAGAGGGCTGTCAATCAGAAGCACTCAATTAAACAGAATCCATCATCTTTTTAGGTTTCTAGGTCTCATATCTTTTTAGGTTTCTGGGCACTCATATCTAACTACTTTGGAATCTGCCTTCAAATCCAGTTACACTCTGAAATGAGAGTGAATTTGTCTTGGTGTCATCTGTGTGATTCAGTTACTTGAAGAATTCTGCCCTCTGCTCTTTTTGTCTGGAGGTTAAATATGATATCACTCTTTCTCCATAAGATTAGATTTTTAGTCCATTAATTATCCTCATTACATTTTCTGGATCCTTTCCAGACTATCTTAATTCTTTTTAAAATATAGTTGCCAGAACAGGAGACTAATACTCAATAATAATTTCATCAAAGCCAAATAAAAAGAAATAAAAAACTATCATTAGTTGGAAACAAGGCTTCTGTTGATACAACATAAAATGACATTGCCTGTTTCTTTTTCCCAACCACATTACCAATTATATCCTGTCTGCAATCAGCTATTCCAACACTATTTAACCAATACAGTTACCTCCAGCCTATACTGTACATTTTGTTTCCTGAGGGGAAAATCTTTGCAACCTCACTATTAAATTACATTATATTACTTTCATTGCATTTCATTGAGTTGAATTTTGAATTTAATTGATGCCTTCTAGGGTATTGTTATCTATGGATTGCTTTCCCGTCCATCTTTAAAATGGTCTCCACCTTTGTTGAGCTTTCCCACCTTATCTTTAATGAAATCATAAATAACAATAAACTATTCAGTACTTCTTGACTGGAGCATATACACGTATTTATTAGGCTACTTCTTGTGCATATGATGTGGCTAATTCACAAGTCAATCCAAACAATTTTCTTGTGTGTGTGTTTTTTTATACCATTGTTAGTTTTAAGTAAGACCAAGTCCTGATGCTTAAAAATCTATCTTTGAAGGTAGAATGCATATATGGTAATGGAATCCTATGGGATTTATTTATGAGATTATAACTGATTTTACCTCCAGCTCCGCCATCCAGAACTTCCCATTTTCAAAATAGGTACATTCAAGGCAGATTTTTTTAAAAATTAAGATGCAGCCGAATTGTCCAATCAAAGAACTTAAATGTTGATCATGCATATAAAAAAGAGACCAAGGTTTGATGTCATTCTTGCAGCCACAATTCTTTTTTTTTTTTAACACTGTCATGGATACTTTTGTTGCCGGATAAAAGGAAGAGTGGCCAAACATTCTTGTTTGAACATGGGGTGTTGGAGGGAAAGTAGCAAAATTATGTTCACCTGATTCTGCCTCTTTTCATCCTCTTTCCATATCATCATGTCCTCAATACAGTGGTGGCTTTTTACCAGTTTGTCCCAGTTCTGCTGAGCTGGTAGCAGTGATGAGTAGCAGAGACCAAACCAGTTGTCTGTGCTGCTCTGCTGTTGGGCCCACTGGGGCTCCCATACCCACCTTTATCCTGTACTTTTGAAGCACAGCTGCTTTGCATGGCACAGGAGAGAGCTGCGTGACAGTTGCTGAAGCGACCAGGAAAGTGCAAGCTTGCAGGAGGTGAGTTGGAACACCTCTGTGCCTGTGCAAAGTGTGCAAAGCATGCCCACCAAGCCACACCCACCAAACCAGTGGTAAAACTTTTTGAATCCCACCAGTGCCTTAATACCTTCAACTATCCAAAAAACGTGGAGGAGGAAACTCTAAAATTCTTCCATTGACCCCATTAAAGACTTGTGGAAGCCACAATGAAGTCTTAGAGACACACTAGTGGCTCATGGCTCACAGATCACCAATAATGTACATGATGAATGTTTGAATTCTTTGCTCTGCGCTAGTGAGTAAATAGGATGAAAACACAGCTAAATCTAAATGGATGTATTATATATGATATCGATATGCCTTGACAAGAGATCTTTCTTACCTCAGCTTCTTGCCAGGTCAATTTATGATCAAAGTACGCATAACAGTTACCCTGATTTTGCAGCCATTCCCTGGCACAGGTGTCAGCTTCAGCTATATAGAGACACAAGGTTAGGCAAAATAGGCAGTTAGGCATTTGATGAGTATCTTTATTGTCCACTCTTAAAGAAAAAAAATTCTATTTGACCATACAGATAGTGTGGGAAAGGTCTATAGATCACAGTTTATTTGCTCTGAATACAAAATTGAATTGCCTTCAGAGGCTCACCTTCCAAGAAAGGATTGGCAATCAGAAGTCCAAGGAAACAAAGGCTGAAGTAGGTAAAAAGACCCATATTTTGGTTAACCTGCAAGGAGGAAACATCTGTAAGTTCAAGAATATCATGTGCAAAAAAGAAAAATACAAATTAGGTGAACTCTGTGCTCCATTTGGTTGGAACAGATAAGGAAAAACTTCACAGAAATTTGTTTTCTACTGTTACCAATTTGCAAACCAGGGCTTGATGCAAATGTAAGTGGACAAATTATATTGTGGGAAAGCAATCATAAAATTCCCACCCAAACAATGTGACTTTCCTGCTCACTGGTCATAATAAAGAATTTTAAGGGATTGGATCCCTTAAAATTAATGGGACCCATGTGTTTCACACATTACAATGTTAGATGTATACTGAAATTAGGTGAGTATGGAAGCCCTAGTTTCATATTTGTTATCCAAATCATCAATTATCATGGTCAGATTTGCAGCAAATTTATGAATTTCTGCCTCTATTGGAATTCTTATTAATTCTAATCCATCTTAAATGCTAAGCAGGACTAGAATGAGTTAGGATTTATACAAGAGCCCATTAGGGAAAACTCAATGCCATAAGTTAGTTTGGAAATCAGGATAAAAGAAAAATCCTCTGCCCCCAAAACAATAATGTCTTCCAAGCTATTATGAAAATAACACACGTGTTATGTCCCTGGAACTTGAAGAAGTTCCCACTCAGGTCCGTTCGTGCTGCGGGGGCGGTTGCCCTCCCTCTCATTGGTTGGTTCTCCCCAGCAGCCAGCTATAAAAGCAGGCTGCGGGGTCCAACCAGTTGCTGATCGCTGCGAGCCAGTTCCAGGCTTGGCAAGCACGTTCAGTCCTTTATTATTTCTAATAAAGTATTTGTTGCATCCATGCCCTGGTTCAGCCTCTCATTACCCGAACTTAACACTGGTGACGAAGGTGGGATGGCTACCAGAGGCACAATGCAACCGCTGAATCACTAGCCGCTGATCCGTAGCCAGAGAGAACGATCAGCAGGCGATAAGAGCAAACGCTGATCCGCAGCCAGAGAGAGCAGTCAGCAGGCAACGAGAGCGAACGCTGATCCGCAGCCAGAGAAAGCGGTCAGCAAGCAGCGAGAGTGAGAAGCGTCTGTAGCCGCTAGTTAGCCAAGCTACAGGGAAAGTGAAGCGCTGCGAGCCGCAGCCGCTCGTTTCTTTAGGCATGAAATTCAAACGGCTGTCATTTGAATTCCGCCCTAGAAGTACAGCGCGGTGCTGTATTACAAAGTCACTGACGCCCACGCAGGCGCGAATTTCAAACGCTGCCAACGACCGTTGCAGCCTAACCTCGTGTTACCCAGAGAGAGAGAGAGAGTTTGTGAAAAGCCTCTCCGGAGCTGAAGTCACTTGCCTGCCACAGGCACAAAAACCGTCCTGCTGCTGCCCCAGAGAGATTTTTTCAACAGATTATCCAACCAGACTTTTTTGTCATCATGAACTCCAACCCGGTTTTCCCAGCGTTCAAGCCGGATGAGGAGAAGTGGGAGTCATACAAGAATCGTTTCAACCATTACATCGACGCAATTGGGTTGGCTGATGCTGGGGAGCACCGGAAAAAATCATATTTCCTGATCTACTGTGGAGCCATCGTCTTTGATACTGCCACAGCACTCGTGGCTCCACATGAGTTAAAAAACGTTCCATGGACAGAACTGTTAGAAATCCTCACTAACCACTATTCTCCTAGACCCTCACAGATTGCCAGGCGGTTCACCTTCTGAATGAGGAAGCAATCAGACAAAGAGACCATCAACCAGTACATGGCTGCTCTCAGAACTGCAGCTCTCCATTGTGGGTTTGGGACCTACCTGGAGGACATGCTCCTCGACCAGCTAGTCTGCAGAGTCAAGGACCTCCACCTCCAAAGGCGCCTACTCGCTAAGAAGGACCTCAACCTCGCACAAGCCGTAGAGGAAGCCCTGGCAGCAGAACTGGCAGCACACTCAGCCACCGAAATCCAAGGTCCTGTTTCCAAGCAAGGGGCAGTTTCAGTCCACTCTGAAGAGGTGGTCATCGAAGAGGACCCCAGCGACGCAGCCGACATCCACCGCCTCACCCACGCCAGACACCCGCAGGTAGGAGCCAAGCAGGAAAGCGTCAGTCCACCCAAGCACATCACCCTGTGCCTATCTTGTGGTGGATCACACCTGAGGACCACCTGCAAATTCAAGGGAGCCATTTGCAACATTTGCCACAAAAAGGGGCACATCGCTAGAGTCTGCCAGGCCGCTCACAACTCGGCACAAAGGCACCCCTCCTTTTCACAGTCTGGACCCCAAAGGCAAGTATTGAACTGTCGCACTCGCCACCATGCTAAGCACGCTTGCCATGCCATTAGTAAAATCTCTCTCTCCGTTTTGTTAGAAGGTTGACACGGGGTCAGCGCTCTCAATTATATCTTGGAGCACCCTCAAGAGACTACAGCCCAGTCTATCCAGAGGCCGGCTCCAGAAGTGCCAGTTTAACCTGAAGGACTACCAGGGGAAGGACATTCCTGTAATCAGCAGAGGCAAGTTTCTTGTTAATTTTAAAACTTTCAAAGGCCACCTACCTCTAGTGGTAGTTAACGGAAATCTCCCCACACTCTTGGGGCTTGATTGGTTTCCCCATCTCGGCCTAGGGTTGACAGGAGTCCATGCTGTCTCAACCTCTGACACTGACTCCTTATTTGCTGACTACTCAGACGTATTCAGCGATGAGCTGGGGTGTTATAACGGTACCCCTATCTCATTCTCAGTCAACCCCCAAGCAGTTCCAATCAGGCTAAAACCTCGTAGAGTCCCATTCGCTATTCGGCCTAAATTAGATGCGGAACTGGACAAATTATTAAAACAAGGGGTCATTGAGCCAACAGATTTCGCCAAATGGGAGACGCCCATTGTCACACCCCTCAAAAAAGACGGTAGCCTGAGAATTTGCTCGGACTACAAAACCACAATTAATAAGTTTTTACAAGTTAGCGCTTACCCAGTGCCCGTCATTCAGCATTTATTACACACTTTTGAACCTGGCAGCATTTTTGCCAAATTGGATATGTCCCAAGCGTATCAACAGTTCCCTGTTGACAACCAAACAGCGGAACTCCAGACCATTGTCACACACAGGGGTGCCTTCCGATGCAAGCGTCTCCAATTTGGCGTAAGTGTTGCCCCAGGCATTTCTCAATCCCTTATGGAGCGGATTTTGCAGGGCCTCCCTGGTGTAGTACCCTACTTCGACGACATCTTAGTCTCGGCCAGGGACAGACCCCAACTCTTCCAGAGAGTTCGAGCAGTGTTAGAGAGGTTCAGACAGCATGGCCTCAAGTTAAAAAAAGAAAAATGTGCCATTGCCACTAGACAGGTGGACTTTCTGGGTTATAAAATTGACGCCTCAGGCATTCACCCCCCGGAGTCCAAGGTTAAGGCAATTCACGAGGTACCCACTCCAACCTCCAAAGCAGAACTGCAGGCCTTCGTGGGGCTATTGAATTTTTACGCATCTTTCCTGCCCCATAAAGCATCAGTGGCGGAACCCCTGCACAGACTTTTGGATAAAAAATCGTCTTGGCACTGGGGACACAAAGAAGACGCTGCTTTTCGCGCAGTCAAATCACTACTCACGTCGGAGGCGGTCCTTATTCAGTTTGACCCCAACCTTCCACTAGTGCTAGCAGCAGACGCATCCCCTTTTGGAATTGGGGCAGTGTTAAGCCACAGGCTTCCCAATGGCTCCGAGGCTCCCATCGCTTTTTTTTCCAGGACGCTCTCTGCAACAGAGCGCAATTATAGCCAAATCGATAAGGAAGCTTTAGCAGCTGTCGCAGCAGTGAAGAAATTTCACGAATTTCTTTTTGGCCACTTTTTCGAGCTGGTCACGGATCATAAGCCTCTCCTCGGTCTACTAGCTGGTGACAAACAGACCCCTCAAGTCCTGTCTCCTAGAATGACGAGGTGGACTCTTTTCCTAGCGGCATACTCGTATAGACTCACACACCGCCCAGGTAAAACATTGTCCCACGCAGACGCCCTCAGCCGCTGCCCACTGCCTGCTCCTGCTGAGGATCCTGCACCGGTCCATGCTATCTTTGAGGTCACCCAATTGGACCTCCCCATCACTGTCCTTGACATTGCTGCCAAATCCAAGGCAGACAAAACCATCGCCCAGGTACTGGACTGGGTGAGGAGGGGGTGGCCGGGCGGTGATGTTGATACCAAATTTACGCCCTTCAAGACCCGCCTACAGGAATTATCCAGTTTGCAGGGCTGTTTGCTGTGGGGCACCCGAATGGTCATCCCGACCTCACTGCATACCCGAGTTCTGGAGGCGTTGCACGAAGGACACCCTGGCATCGTCAGAATGAAGGCATTAGCACGCAGCTACGTATGGTGGCCGGGCCTCGATGAAGACATCAGCAGATGGGTAAGCTCCTGCCATCCCTGCCAGGAATCCCATCCATCCCCTCCAATTGCCACCCCCACTAAGTGGGAAAGCACCAGCGCACCGTGGTCCAGGATTCACATCGACCTAGCAGGCCCGTTGCACGGCAAAATGTTCCTGGTGGTCGTGGACTCTTACTCTAAGTGGATTGA